AAAATTGATATATATATTGTTACGACAGCGGGGGTCACGTGACGCTAGTAGAACGTCATATTCTCGAACGTTCACGTCCCTTCCTGAAGTCTCGAGAGGTTACTAGATATGCGGTATTCTTGTATATATATAAGACCGGTAAGAAGTGACGGCAACAATGTAAGGTAATGTAATGTGTAATGAACTGCAGACAGAGATAGATACGGACAGTTGAGTCCGGCTCGTGAGACGTTCGTTGTGAATTATAACTTTTGTTATAGCGCGACTGTGGAAATTAAGTGTATTGCAAAGTTGTATTCAGAAATAATAAACCAGTTTTATTTGAGAAAGAACTTGTATCGGTAAAGATTCATCGGAAAGAAATTATACGGGAAACAACCAACGACCAGAGACGTAACAATATGTACGATTTGATGTGATATTACTAAAGATTTGGCAAAAAGCCAGCAACTTGTTTTACAACACGTATCTGTAATGTATAGTCTCGGCGAATTTAGCGTTGAAAGAAAATTTCAACTTATGATTTAGTAACCCGCTTTGTTTCATCCTGAGCATAATATATTAGATCTTTTAACATATATGTGGCCGATAGCTTTTAAATGTATATTTTAAAACGCTTGTTTTCATGGTACGGTATACTTACTAACTCTTCAGAAACTAACGTCAAATTAACGTTGTCCTTTATTATATAGTAATTAGTAAAATGAATAACATCATATACAATGAAGAGTTGACGTATTCAGTTGTAAACGTAGCTTTGTCTGATCGTTATTTGATATTCAGCTTTAACGTTTCTCATAAATGCTATTTCCGTGACATGTTTAGTTAACAGCTAATATCCCTGTTGAGCAACTTTATATTGAAGTAAGTATAAACTCTTAACTGAATGTCACTCAGAAAATTTATTCCAAGTCATTCGCGTAGAAATGGTTGTTCATTTATTACATTTCGCACAAAGTTATACGAGGACTATCTGCGCTAGCCGTCCCCAATTTTTATGGGATAGACTGGAGGGAAGGCAGTTAGTCAACGCCTCCCACCACCAACTTCTTGGGATTGACCAACACATTTTAACGCTCCCAAGCGTGTGTGTCATGCGACGGGTTTCGATCCCACGACCCGCAAGTCGAGCGTCCTAACCACAAGGCCATGTCAGGCCTTCGCAGAAAGTGAAATTTTGGATTTTAAACTTAATGGTTGGAGTCAAAATTAGCTTATTATGGTTTCGAGGATTCATTTGGAGGCGTGTAGAACTTTATGCTTTTATCTTGATGATATTTTCGAGTTGAAATACTAGAAACATCTTTCCATTCTACCTGATTTTCATCAGTCAGTGATCACCTGGTGTTTTTTATAGTAATGTATTAATTTCCATTGGCTTGTTAAACGTGCCGGAACATGTAATTTCAGGTGTATCTCAGTCAGGGTCGGATTAAGAGAAATAGATAAATGGGTGCAATTTTCCTAAATACCCTGATCGACAAGACCCCCCGCTAAGAGAAAAATAAAAATTAGAAACTGGATGTCTCTTTGAAAATGTATGCTTGAAACCAGAACAACAACTTTTTTGGTCGTTTCTTATAAATCTCTTGTGAGGCTTGCTCTAGGTTCCAGTAAGTATTTTGGCACAGTTAGTTTCATTTTGGTTTCGAAAGCTCGGTCAGTTGATGACGACTGGTTCCAGACATATTCTATATGTTTAAGAGCTATGGTCTGATGAATTAATTCCAAGATATTGTTATTAACACCTTAAGGATATGGGGTTAAGATATGTGGTCTGATGGAGAAATTCCAAGATGTTGTTTCTAACACCTTAAGATTTGTTAATATCTGTGGTCTGATGGAGTAATTCCACGATATTGTTACTAACACCTTAATATTTGTTAAGATCTGTGGTCTGATGGAGTAATTCCAAGATATTGTTTCTAACACCTTAAGATTTGTTAATATCTGTGGTCTGATGGAGTAATTCCAAGATATTGTTACCAACACCTTAAGATTTGTTAAGATCTGTGGTCTGATGGAGTAATTCCAAGATATTGTTACTAACACCTTAAGATTTGTTAAGATCTGTGGTCTGATGGAGTAATTCCAAGATATTGTTTCTAACACCTTAAGATTTGTTAAGATCTGTGGTCTGATGGAGTAATTCCAAGATATTGTTATTGACACCTTCAGATGAGGTATAAGTTATATGTATTTTGAGAAGAGAGTATTACCTTGCAACACTGCTTTGGTCTTTTAATATTTCTTGATATCTATGGACATTTAGACGTGTAGATAGGCCTCACGTTCAAGACACTGAATGAAACCCGTACCACAGTTCATTGCAGGTACCGTATGTTCGCTTATGACCTCACTGAATACAGAGAAGTCAGGGTTAATGTGTTACAAATGTTACTTCTGGCATTTTTTGAGATTTCTGATAAGTGAACATTTGTCATATTCCAACATCAGTTTCGGCTGACCTTAACGTATTTTCGAAGTTGCACTACCAAACAGATAGCGCGTGACTAAGCATTGCGATTAATTCACGTGCCACTTTTTTTATACTTCCAGCAGCTTATAGTCTATTTTCTCTCGATTTTATATAATTAATAACGTTTTGAAATCTTGCATATACTTCACAATACTAATCTACCTATCTTGAATGTCTGTATGTATTTTTATTTATCGAATATCCATATAGAACCTGTTGAGTAGACATTTTCAAGTGTTCAAAGGAAGAGTGCTATACGCATGCGTATAGTTTTTTAACCACGAGCGTGGATGTAGGAAATACAGCCATCATACAATTGAAGACATAAAATACCCGCGCTACGCGGGATCAAAGGCCCCCTCGCAATTCTGAGCACGTGTGTCAAATTTAGTCCCGCTGGTTTAGGAGTGGGGATATGAACACATTTTCAATCATAGCGCAATCGGCATTCCGAGAGGAACCAGAAACACAAAATCCGATGACAGATTCGGCTTCAGCGGCCCTGAAAACTTACTCCTAAACCAATAACATGTCTGGGTGACCTTTTGGGCGCACTTACACCCTTTGGTAATGGGGAGGCTACGCCATATGGATAACACTCCGAGTCCGCATGGTAAATTTGGTCTCGATAGGGAGAAGTTCGCGAACAAACAAACCAATTCACAAACGCATAAGCACACGGCAAATTAATATGAGGTGCAGACGTTAGTTGTTGTTTTTGTATATTGTATGTAAAATTTTGCAGCAAAAATATACTATATAAGTAAAGCACGAGAGAAGAGATTGAATTATTTTATATGAATAATACATTCATATGTATTAGTTTTAAATGACCACGTTGTAGATTAGCTAATGTTATCCTAAATAAACAAAGAACTTAATATATTCAACATTTTCATACTGTGAGGTGCTTTAGTTGCCATTCTTAAATATTTCAGAATGAAACTTGATTGTAGAAAATATCGTTTATATTTATAGGGTTGATTGTTTGTTTATTTGAAGTTAAGCACAAAGCTACACAATGGGCTGTCTGTGCTCTGTCCACCATAGGTATTGAAACCCGGTTTCCAGCGTTGTAAGTCCGCATACATGCCGCTGTGCCACTGTGGGGCATAAAGGGTTGAATATATCAACGAGGACTGTGCGATAAAGTTATAAAAAACTCTCGAGGACCATTCTCTTTTCTGATTCAAATACAGATCTTATCAGGGGCCATTTTCTTTTCTGATTCAAATACAGATCTTATCAAGGGCCATTCTCTTTTCTGATTCAAATATAGATCTTATCAGGGGCCATTATCTTTTCTGATTCAAATACAGATCTTATCAGGGGCCACTCTCTTTTCTGACTCAAATACAGATCTTATCAGGAACCATTCTCTTTTCTGATTCAAATATTAATCTTATCAGAGGCCATTCTCTTTTCTGACTCAAATACAGATCTTATCAGGGGCCATTCTCTTTTCTGACTCAAATACAGATCTTATCAGGGACCATTCTCTTTTCTGATTCAAATATTAATCTTATCAGAGGCCATTCTCTTTTCTGACTCAAATACAGATCTTATCAGGGGCCATTCTCTTCTCTTACTCAAATACAGATTTTATCAGGGGCCATTCTCTTTTCTGACTCAAATACAGATCTTATCAGGGGCCATTTTATTTTCTGACTCAAATACAGATCTTATCAGGGGCCATTCTCTTTTCTGATTCAAATACAAATCTTATCACTCCATAAGTATTTAAATGAATAACACAATATCGATGATTCAACTTACCAAATACTATTAAACAACCAGGGGAGAAGGTGGGGGGAGGGGAGCGTGCCCTGCAAGCGGCCAGTTATGAAATAGTTGTATAAACGGTTACATCATATACGTAACTATAAGTCCCCGTTGTTTCATCTTTTCGATACTATTTTCTTTGGTATGAATGCTTTATTGTTTTGTACCAATATGTAAGACACACACACACACACATATATATTCCTGCTGCGTTAGCTTGTAAAGGTTCTATGGCTTTTTTTTTCTATGTTTTTTGTTTGGATCTTTTGTCTTGTGTGGTTGGGTAGAAGGGCGAAAACCAGAGCGGGTAGAGAGTTCACTTCTGATAATCCCTATTTTCCGAGATGTAGAGTGGACGTATTTTCTATACTGTCTTGAATGTTTTATGATCATTACATTCTCATATTTCAAAAATATCTACATACCCACAAATCTGCTCCAACACTCACGTGTACTGTTCTCCTTTCATTTCTTTCACAATTCTTCTTGAACTGAACAGCTCATTGTTCTAAACAGTTGAGATGTCGTGTGTTTTTAAAGAGATCTGTTCAGTATGTAGATTGAAGAACACTGATAAAGAAAGACACGTTGTGTACCTTTATCTTGTTTAAATAAAATCCTTGAACCGAAAACATTAAATAATATTTAGCTGTTACACGTCAGTTTTATGCTACACAATTTTTCACAAGTTTTACCTAAAATTCCTAATTAATTCATACTAGTAAATTTTGTTTTGAAGATGTCAGTGGCGAGCAGAGTGAAGACCGGTCAAGATGGCTGGAAAGCAGAAGAAAGCAGGAGTACAACATCAGAGGTATTTAGAGAGACTTATTCAATTAAAAATATGGCTAAAATGTTGCATATAAATAAAAAGTGGTAGTTTTTAATATATATTTACGAAAATCAATCGAGCTTAGGATTAGACTAAAAATATGTTTGTCATGATGCGTATGAAATAGGTGGAAGATTGGGGACTATTTTTGAGAATTACAAAATCATAATCATATTTAGTTCTGAAGGAAAATTTTTTAAAGCATGTCTTATCTTATAATATTATAATGAATATTTTGTGTTGACGTTTATTTCTTTGAGTTCTCGCAGTCCAATGTGTCAAATTTTATTGTAGGTTAAACATTTGTGTAGAACGTGATTGTTTCTAGTATGGAAAACATAATTTTAGACCTCGTACGCCCTTACAACCCCCCTTTGTCCCCCAGCGCTAAAAACCGGGTTTCGATACCCGTGGTGGGCAGAGCACAGATAGCCCGTTGTGTAGCTTTGTGCTCAACTTCAAACAAACAAACAAACAAAGCACCACAGCGGTATGTCTGCGGATTTACAACGCTAAAAACCGGGTTTCGATACCCGTGGTGGGCAGAGCACAGATAGCCCATTGTGTAGCTTTGTGCTTAACTTCAAACAAAACAAAACAAATACTTTTCCCCGGTGGCTCGGCGGTAAACTCGAGAGCTTACTTACAACGCTAAAATTAGGGGTTTAATCCATACGGCTGCCATGGTAGAAATCGCAGCCGTGCGCTTGATAATAAACAAAAATGTTCACCACTTATATAAAATAGTTACGATAAATTTCTAGATTTCCCAGAACAGCAACCATTTTAAACTAGTCGTTAGAAGTATATAAGTCACAAAGGTATAGTCATCCGTGATCTCCAAACTTCATTACATGCTCAAAATTGTAGTTGAAAGCTTTTAGTGTAATCATACGTTTGCACGACAATAAAATAGCGCGAGAAACTTCGCAGATATTTATGTAAACTTTAGTCTTGCGATTAATGATGAAAGTTTAGGAGTGTGTGAAAAATGTGGAGCTTAATAGCTTAAAATCTGTTTTAAAGAGAAATAGATACTCATAAAATTTCTTAAAATTACACGAGCCATTTTTTTAATCTCTTCTTTTTTTTTCAGTAATACTCGATTCACTTAACATGTAAGAACATGGCTTACTTTTTAGTTATACACCCACCTTTAGCCTTCTTAATTACTAAAGAATGCTTGATGTTGGCCAGCTTTGCAGTTAGCTCAAGTACCGAGTTTTTCATAAGGTTGTTAATCAAAATAAGTAACGTATCATTTCACATCGGTTAAAAGCCTATATTGTACCAGTTGAAGAAAGTAATTTGAACACTATCATATGCGATCAGTCGAACTAGGTCGATACATGAGATGAGTAGTGATTAATTAATGTTAGTATTCCACTTAGTATCCCATGGAATCACGACAAAATCACTACCCGTTCCGGAATGAAGAAGACTAACTGTTGATTGGTCAGTTCTTCTGAATTATGAGCAAGCTATTTAAGAAAATAATATACGGTGTTAAGAGAAATAGATAATATAGTGTTAAACAATCCTTACCCTAGTACTGATGTGGTATGACATTAATAAAATTTGATGAAAAATTACACTTGAACAAATTAACCCAGTTCACACCATAAAAGTCCAATTCAAATGATGTCTCAACACCGGCTATGTCTGTCGTAACCCAGCCCACCAGAAGAAGTCCTGGTATTAAGTGAAAGGCCTCGTCGGCACGAAATGTAATAGATATAGTGTGGTTGGCATGTTATTGTGCAACATTCTTTAATTTCACTCATAAAAACGTGGCATTTGATTGGGGAAACATTTTATTATAATATCTAACGCAACATTTAAAGATTTATTACGCATTTTCTAAAAACAACAACAACAAAAACAAGCGAAATATTTAGTCCTATATATATATATTCATTGTCTAAAGTAATCCAAGCTTTCGATCTCAACAACTTTACATCATAAAAAATTATTTGTTGTGAACGCAAACATAAAGATTTTAGCAAATGATTTTGATCGATAGAAAATTTACTAATATAACTTTTTTGAAGACTCTAAACCACGGAAAATAATACTTCTGGATACCTTATTATTTCATAAAATAATAATAATGATCAATATTATTCCTCTTTAAACGATAACAAACCTGCAAAGCATAAAAATATTGTTGGTATGAAATAATATTTGTTTAAAAACTAAATTTTATTTATGAAAAGTCTCCCGGTAGGTCAGCAGTAAGTTTACGTGAATCCGGGATTCGATTCCCAACATTGGACAGAGTGAGTATAACCCATTGTGTATATTTGCACTAAAAATAACAACACCGTCAATGTATTTGTTGAAATTTTCTGTTTTCCGATGTTGAGACCATTTAATTACTCTCAACCCCCAAAGTGGACATTATTTCCTCATTTCAGATTTTTTTTCCCCCTTATTCTGCGTTGAAATTATGTTGATAAATTAGAAAGTAGTGCTGAAGCGTTTGTTTTGGGTTTATAAGCCATATAAGTTACATTTCTCTTAATAGGTTTTGATTAAGAAGCTTTAGCTTGGACTGAATAAAAATGGAGACAGTTTCTTGAGGGATTTACTTAAATTATTCATATAATATCAGTTAAAAAGAATAGTTAAAAGTAAGGTATTTATCAAAGTATGGTAGTGAATTATAACTTAGTGTCTTCTTCATGAAATTTGGGAAGGAGGGGGGCGTTGCACCAGATTCGTCTGGGTTGTGACTTCAAATCCCACTTGAAAATGTCTGGTCCTTTGGCTGTACATCGTTTCATAATTATTTATCGTAAAGTTTCATAGCCCTATGCAGTCCTATACGTTCTATTCTGTGAGAAAACAGTAAATGTGTTCTCTGGCTATACATCGTTTAACAATCTAGGGTTATTACTATTTCCCTTCAGAAAAACTTCTTATGTATAGCTCCAACCATAAGCTTATCTGTGGCAGTATTGCTTTGTTGACTTTTAAGGAAACTGTTTGGAACCAAATATATAGGTAAATAAACATGTCGCCCGTGGCGCTTGCATTATCATAAGTTCTTATAAAGTGAAATTAATACTTTGTATATAATACTGCCTACCTCTGTACATAAATGTTACCTAGTTGAAATGTCTTAGTATTTATATATCGTTAAGAAGAATTTGAGCTTTAAATTACAAAACAAAATATGTAACCTGCTGCACATTTTCACATTCTTATAAGCATTTATACGTTAAATGTAAGATTCTTAAAAGACTATATACATTTCATGTGCTTTTTAAACAAAGAACAAACAATATTTTAAGTTCTCGTTTTTTTTCAGAAAACGTCCACGTCCGTGGCTACGCATAAGAGGAATTTCATTTCTGAGTTACATTCGACATTCTGTTTTCAGCTTTTGTAAAATATTTCACATTTCTACGTTTCGATAATAATTTACAACACCCTTGTAGCAGTAGGTACTGATAGCTGGCTGCCTTTGCTTTGGTCAGTAGTTCAAATTTGGGGGCCTCTGACCTCGTCGTTTAGCTCATGTGAGCAAAAACTGCCGTTCACTTTGAAAATACCAATTGTTTTTATGATGCGATTTTGTTATAGTTAAGTATGATAAAGTAATATGCAATTAAGATAATACATTTAGTTTGTTTAAATGACTACTAACTCCAAAAAGTGTCATGTTATACATCGAACTCACTTGCAAGTGAAATTCACTGCATCACTCCCTAAAATGTCGATGTAATGTAAAACTGTAGTCGTGTGTTACAGGCTTGGGTTATCTTTATTAATCATAGCATTCACTTTGCGAATTAGAGCGTTGTTGTCTCGAATTTGGATAAGATGTGTTTGGGAGCTTATTGCAGTCCTAAACGCTCTGATGTGCCAAGTTTTCTGCTCTTATCGAGAACATTGAACAATATTACGCGCGTATACCATGAGAAGTAACGCGAGAGACAAATTTTACAAGAAAAGTATTCTAAAAGAAAGTCATAACTAATGGTTGTTGTGCAAGAATAATGGGTGATAGTGGAAAAGAAGTGACAGATTAAATGTCAGGCACGAGGTTTAACTTCTCTCATATGTTTGTTAATAAATGTGAGATGCCTGACTTAAAATTATAAATTTGCTGTTCGAATCCTGCGGTGGGCACAGCTTAGACACCAACAACAACACAAACAATAGTGTTTATAATTCTGCTATTCTTATAACAAGAACTAGGAGACAATCTAAATGATTGTTTGTTTGTTTTGCTAAGTAGCAAATAAATAACTCTGTTCCATATGATGTTTTTAGAAAACAGAGCGTTTATAGTAACGAAAGTCTATATATTTTTTATCGATGCTATGCTATTCATCTCTCGCCTTCGAACAGATTTTGTATCATTAAAGGGGAATGTATCATTTCCAGATTAGTATTGAAGCATTTATTAAACAGATTTTACTACTTTGTTAATGCATTGACAAGTTGACTTTTACTGAAAGACGTCGGGTTTTATACTTTCTAGGTTACGTTTTTGTGTTAATGTAAGTTATTCAGTAGTAATCCACCACTGTTCCAGTGCTCCAAACTTAGTTGACGATTATTTTCAAAAAGCTATCGTACACTTGTGTGGATCAGATAATCAATCAACTTGAAGAATACTTAATTTAACCCTAAAATTACCAGCACAGATTTCTCTAAATTATTTATCCACCAACGTTCTTGTGGGTCTATAATTTTTTTTTTTTTTTTGGTTACAGTAGTTTACTAATTAACCGTTTTGGGTCATACAGAA